TTAGGAAATATATTGATTATTTTCAGAAAAAAAAAAGATAATATAAACTCAAAAAATTCGTGAAATGAGAATATATGTTTATGTTCAGAAATAATAATACATAAATTTGCTGTTAAATATTTTATCCAAAGATTATATAGACTCATATCACATAAATTCTTTAACACATATATTATAACAACCATAATGTTCACGTAGAGTAATTAATTGGATTTTTGAGGTTATCGTTCCAAGAACCCACTTGTATGCAATTGGAAAAGTTTTGCTTGGTACCGTTCCCTGAAGACTGAATGATGTAGATAGGGCCAAAATGGTCACTTCTAAGGTGTTTGGTGCTTTGCAGGTGGCGCATATGGGTGAAGGCGAATCGTCCATGCACAGGTTGGCGGAATCTAAGTATACCCACAAGAATTCGACGTCCTAGCTAAAACGGTCTACATTGTTGTCGATTCACATTCTCAAATATCGATGAAGAGAAACTGATGTACACTGTGAACTACCGAGAGATCTTCGTGCGGTTACTTCTAGTTTCTTTCCGATACCTTGCGCAGCACACTGTGTTTTATCTTGATCATATACATACATATTGATAGGTATTTCGGACAAAGTTGAGTAGTATAATTTGTAAAATATGATTAACAAATCATAACTAATACGGGTATGTATTTATTTATTCGAGTTGGATCCTCCTTCCCCCTTTCTTTTTCTGTTAACACTAACTTTTTATTACTGACTGGTTAAAATTTTATTTCAACGTCGACTAACACCGCGATATATTTAGATAATGCCAACTTGATTAGCTCTGGGATAATCAAACAAACTATTCACAGCTGTGTCAGTCCTCTGCTTTGTTTTACAACTCGCCATGCTTCATGTCTGTTCATAATTGGAAATATTTTAGACATAATCTGATGCTTCTATTCAGTACACTGCTCCAGAAATCAATTTTTTGTCTATAATTTGCTATTGGAAGTTCCATTCATCAATAATCGCTATTGATTGTTTTTTTTTTTGGTATGCTTCATTGTCATAAAAAATTCTTACTGAATATAGTTATATATTTTCGGTACAAAACGTGCTTGCAACCAATTGCTGTAGAGACATCGCTTTTGGCTCATACATATAATGAGCTAGTAATAAAATATATGTATACCCTATATAGTTACTTATGATAATTGTGATTCAGTAAGCTAGGTAGGTTCAACGCTAGCACCAATGCGGTCTGAGGAATAATATGTATTTCATTAGATATATTTTGAGGCGCCGTATCGTTTGTTTTTTAACGTTCCTGAATAGTTGGTACTATGATGGAATATCTAATAAAATCTAATAATGGTTTCAACTTTATGCACTCAATTGTTATTGATGCAAGTGAAAATTTTGAAAGGAGAAAATAATATTTGTTTGAAGGTGGTTGACAATATTTCGTGGTACGTTTCATTGTCTAATATGCTATAAATTGATTTGAAGTCTCTGAAAGAATCGATAAAATTAAAATGAACACCTGAAAATAATAATTATATTAAGCAAAAAAAAACAGAAATTACAATGAAATAAAATAGAACCAATAATTAAAAAATTGAACTATTAACACGAAATGAAAATTAAATATTATTAACAAGAAATGAAAATTAAAAGTTGAGAGATTCCAAGCCAAGTTACTTCACGACGTTTCAATTGTATCCACAATAGTCTTCGGGTGATAACTTTTAATTGTTGCTTGTATTTTATTTCATTGTAATTTCAGTTTTTTTTGCTTAATATAATTGTTAATTTTTCAACTAATCTTTTCAATTTTTTTTATAGTTTCTTTTATAAATGTAGATATTAATTACAACTGCGATCTTCAACTAAATGCCGTATTGGGAAAGATAAATTCTCATTTTTGAAAAAGTCACTTCTATATGCAAAGGTGATGAATTCATGTACAGATAGCACAAAGGGTCATTTATTTTTGTCATGCTTTATAAATTAGTGGGTTCATGGGAGGTTAACATAGAATCAACCCAAAACAAGCTCTTTTCCCAAATATCAGAACTGCAATACTCTTACTGACGCACGTTTCGCCAACCAAGGGGGTGTTTTCAGTTTACTTCATTTTCTAAATAAGATAAGAACGAGGGTTCAAGATCATTTATTTTTGTATGGTTAATCCGAATGCCACATAAACTAAATAATGTGTATGTCATGGATAACGAAGGGCCGCTTTTAGTATAAAAATCCAATTTCATTAAAGACATATGAATTCATCACATCTTATCCTACATTTCCTTCCCGAAATTGCTTGTACAATGTTTGATTTGGAATGATTTCAGTCGTAATAAGTATCTGAATTTAAGATAACCGTACAAGATTTTTTGGCAAATTAACACTTCACTTGGGTCCTTTTTTTATTTTTCTAATATTTTTACGTGCACCTCCTGCAACTAACAGCATAAGATTGAAACTCGTTTTATACTTCAAGACTATGAAAATCATATATTTTTAAGAGGTATCAAATGATCCCTTAAAACTTTAGCATGGGCTTGCAGTCTAAATGGGCCAACATTTTTGTCTTATTCCATAAGAGTCCTGTCCTTATTTAATCTGTTTAGCATGCCATATTCTTAGACAAATTTTTTGCCAAAATTGTCTTAAAATTCATCAAAAGTTCCGCAGCCTATTGGTTTCATCATACTCTAATTATAATAAAACTAAACTTGTTTTTTCAAGAAACTTTAAATATTAAAGTTGACATAAACCTGATATTTCATTTTTGTTGAAACTAAAGAATTCTGCCCATCATCAAGTGATATAAAATGAAGCTGTTCATATTTATTTGTTATTTTGTGAGATTAGTTTTTCATAGCAAAAAGAGTAATTTGATTTAGTTATGCTTTATGAATTCGTGGATTCATGGGATGGTTAACATGGAACCAAGCACTTTTCCCAAATACCAGAACTGCGATACTCTTCTTGACCAACCAAGTTTACAATTTCAGTTTATTTTATCTCCAGGTTGGTGAAACGTGCGTCGAGAACAGTATTGCAGTTTTGTGTTTCGGAAAGGTGCTTGTTCTGGATTTATTCTACGTCAGATGTTCCAGTTTTACCTTTTATAAGGGCCAAACCCCTACCCGAGAATTAGGGTTTAAGGTATTTTTTTTTGGTTGATCCTAATGCCCCATTAACCTACTAATTTGTACGCCATGACCAAATAAAGGGCCCTTTTTAATTTAAAAACCTAATTTCACGAAAGTTTTGTAAGAATTCATCATTTTTGCATACAGAAATCACTTTTTCGAAAATGAATTTTTTTTCCTATTTAATTTTTGTTGAAATCAATGGAGAATTTTTCTTATCTTCAAAGTGATATGAAATAAAGCTGTTCATATTTGTTATGGGAAAATTTTGAGAGTTGTAGGTGATGTTGAAATGCGCATATCTCCTGATGATAACTTGGTTACTGAAACGTGACAAAGCTATTATCGGAAAAAGTAATCCTTAAAGTACTAAATCAAATGTCATTTATCAAATCTGAGAAGTTTTCTGTTCAATTTTACAATTAATGTATGCTTTTTAAAAGTATTTGAATATTTCTATTTGAAAGTATAAAAAATGTCTTTTTGTTTCATCTTGTCCACCTCACATACAAAAAAAGGAAATTTGATGATTAGGAAAATGATCATGTTTTCCTAAGTTTTATAGTTAGATATCCATCCATTGAATAAGGATAGGGTATTGAATCGACAAGGAATGTTGGCCATCCTTTCTAAAGGATCTACTTGCCACTCCAATGAGACTGGAAAATATATTATACATGAAATTTTGTGTGATTTAAATTTTTGACAATCTAATGTTACTCAATCTCCATCTGCCTTCTAAATATTTCAATTCATACATTTATTCCGAATATTCTTGAAGGGCTCTGTATATTCATTTCCAGGGAATTTTTGAGCGTTTTTGTTATTGGATATGAAAATTATGATTTGATGTTTTACAATAATCTTTTTTTTTTTGTTGTGACTCACTCTAATCTGACTTTCACATACTGAAATTGTTGTTGCTTGATTTTATTGTAATATAAAAGCATTGTTCAAAAGGAAGAAATGGCTCGGTAACAGATTTCAAAAGCTAGTAATTTTCAACTTGGCTGCTTGTATATAAGAAATACTTATGGTACTGGATCATTTACTTCTGGAACAATGTTCTTGGCCTATACTGTACATAAATTAGTTTTTGTATGAATATTTGTCTGAAATAGCACTTTTTGTGAAAGTTTGGACTAATTTCTTGGACTAGCAGAATTTGAATAAATGCCACTGAAACTTTGGTTGCGCGAAAATTTTGATAGAAATTCAGATTTTATACAAAAATGAAACTTATGTGGTACACAGTACTGCATAGATATTTGCCCCATGTTGGGTGCCAAATTTGCAATATACATACATTCAATATACACCCACACATTGGGTGGTGAATTGCGAATATAAATATTTAGGTTTCACTTCTGGCAGACACTTTCCTAAAGCAATGTCCTCCAACAATAACGAGATATTCCACATTTTTGAATTTATGCATGTTTCCAGCATTTTATTTGAAGCCAGAGTGTTTTTTTTTTTTAGTTTCAACATCGGCATGTTGTTATTTTGTCCTGTGAAGACGAAACTTGATTGTATATAATGTAGCAGTTTTGAATGAAGTGCTAGTTCCTTGTGATTGACAGGAGCATTTAGATTTTTCAGGTTCGCACCTGAATTGTGGATCCTTTAATTTAGTGTTATCATATTGTTATTTTGATTTTTATATCATGGTTTTAATTTACCTTGTCCGCCGAAGAAGCCTGACTTTGAATGATATTTTGTAAATATTTGCTTCATTTTTCTGTTACATATTCCGATAGTGAATTCAGTTCGTGAATTATTTATTGTCAGGCGGTGAACGTATTTTTAGTATACACTAGAAATTAAAGAGAATTTATATTTTGATGTCTATAATAAATGCAGAAAAAAAATAAAAAATACAATTGTACTTTTTTTTTTATTTCCCAACTCCCTCACACAATTACACATAGAATCTTACGATATATTGCTACTTTGAATTCAGTTTCTCTTTCAATGGCTTTTCACCACGCCTTCTCTTATTGAGTGGATTTCTTGGATCATAAATTTCAAACCAGTCATCATCTTTTGTATTGGCGTCTTTGGCTAAAACTGGATTGTCGTCTGCAAATTTGAGTTGGTGAGAAAGCCTAAAAAGAATTCCCCAAATTAATAATAAAAATTATTTTCTAACAAATAGAATTCAGAGTGACCTTTCAGATATTCTGTTCATTCATTTAGGTATATAATCGAACTTATATTTTGTTTTTTTTTATTAATTTACATACACACACACACACACAATGCACTTTAAACGTTTCAATTGAGAAAGAAATAATTTTAAGAGAAACTAGTTTCTTTGAAAAGGCTCTTCGGCCATCTACTTCAATAAGAATAATAATCTTTATTTTTATTTTAGACATGATTGAACATGTATAGAAATTGTCTCGTACATATTTGATATTATATACATGATTAATCAAGTTGGTAATAAAAATAAATCAAATATATACTCCTATACATAAGACTATTTGTAGCACAACTTTAGAGTAACTCTTGTAACATGTAGGAATGAATATTTATTATTATAATAAAACCTTTTTGATAAAAATTTGAATTCTCTAACTCATACTGCATCTCTTGTGAAAGAGTATGAAAATGGAATATAAAATTATTTATTTTGCCCGGTATTAATGTGAATATTCTCATTCATGGTAATTATTCAATTGTTACATACATAGCTCTAAAATAAATGATCCTATTACTGTTAGGATTCAGAAACAGGAAAAGAATTCCTGCACGAGAAGTACTCTAGAAATGACCTTCAAAAAAACCCCTGTTGATAGTGTGGATCCCCTCCAAACGAGGTTTTCATAACGTATTCTGGAAGCCATATGAGGGATATAATAAGGTAATTGTCCACATGTGAGTACTTCTCTTAGCTGTCAATACATAAAACAAAGAGTTTAACTTTGTAACCAGATAATTACAGTGAAATTTCCAGTTTAAACAATCGTCAATTGTAATGCCTAAAAATGTTTCTTTGTCAGTGCAATTTGATTTTTTTGTTAGCAACAGTCAACATATTGGAAATATTTTTCTGAACGTTATGATGCCTTATACCACGTTTTTTATGTTATGTGAAATTTTCTTTCCTTATACAAGGAATTGGGCAAATTTCACAGGTAGATGGGGTGATGACAAACCTGTTGTTTGTTGTCCGCTTCAGCCTAGTTCAAGGAATGACACTCTGAAGGAAATCGATTTTCAATTATCGGAAATCATCGACTTTATGTTGATGATAGACACTACCTTGCACTGATGAGTGGCCAAACAGCCCGGAACCGGTCTGCAAGTGTGTTCCAATAATTAAAAATCGATTGCGCCAGTTGTATCGCCAACAGCATATGCAGTGAAGAATCCCGCACAGACACCTGTCGGATATAATCCAACGCCCTTCGTGGTATTAGTCAAGGGAGTAATTGTTTTCTGATAGGTGTCAGTCCCTTAACCTACAGTGTAGGGAGTTGAGACTGGCCTGAACGAATTGTTCCTTCAGAAGTCTTTAAGTATGCCCACTGACTATTCCTTATACGAGGAATTGGTCAAATTTTGGATATACGGTTGGTTACCTCGTTCACAGGCAGATGGGGCGATGACAAACATGTTGTTTGTTGTCCGCTTCAGACTAGTTCGAGGAATGATACTCTTGAAGGAATTATATTTTCAATGGGGAATATTCCTCAATTTGGGTTATTACAGCAAATGCAAATTTGAACAAAATAATGTTGAGTTTAATTCATGAGTTTTTCATATTCACTTCGAAAATTATTCAAATTGATGTTTCAAATGTTGGGTTTTAATTTTTAAAGGGATTTGTTTCTAATTCACATATTGGCAACAGCGCCTATATCAAGTTGAAATAATTTATACGTAACTAGATATTCTACTTTAAAAAAGGAAATTTTTAAAGAAAAAGGTTGAAATGATAAGTTTAAAATGCGTTGTTTTAGAGCTCTTGTATGAAAACTACTTGATTTTCGTCAGGAGGAACATTCCCCATTATCGGAAATCATAGACTTTATGTAGATGATAGACACTACCTTGCACTGACGAGTGACCAAACAGCCCGGAACCGGTCTGCAAGTGTGTTCCATTATTTGAAAATCGATTACGGCAGTTGTATCGCCAACAGCATATGCAAGAATAACTTCAGTGAAGAATCCTGCACTGACACATGTCGGATATAATCCAACGCTCTTCGTGGTATTAGTGAGGGGAGTAGTTGTTTTCTGATAGGTGTCAGTCTTATCGCAGACAATTTGAATCCGCTGCGGAAAATAATGGGTGGAGAAATGAGAAGAAAGCAACAGCTCTTATATTGGCACTACGAGGAAAGTCCTCCGAAATTCTGCAAAATATTCCAGTTAATAGGCAGAAGGATTATGAAGCAGTCGTATCAGCTTTGGAGGTCAGATATGGTAGTGAGCACCTTCAACAAGTCTACCAAGCTCAACTGAAGGTGATACCTCAAGGTCAATCAGAAAGTTTGCAAGAGTTTAGCTTGAAGTCGAAAGGTTAGTAAGACTCGCCTACCTAGAAGCACCGGATAACTTTACCCACTGGATTAGTGTCCATAGTTTCATCGACGGGGTTCGTGACACGGAGCAGCAGCAGTCACTGAGGATGTCCCGTCATAAAAAATTGAATGAAACCATCATTTATGCCCTAGAAATTGAAGCTGCTAAAAATGCTTTGCGACAACAACGAAAAGTTATAGTGAGGGCCATCAATGAAAAGGAGACGAAGGAACAGATCGACTTATGGTAGGTCTTGAAGAACTCCTTAGGAAATATTTGATGAATGGAACTGCACCCAAGGCAAGAGGACGGCCTAAATACTAAATGTTAAAACTGCGGCAGAGAAGGACATTTAAGGCGGGACTGTCGATCTCGTTCAACATCCAACGAAAAAAGAGACTGGCGTTCGGGATCACCCGAACTAGAGCGTCGGGGTTCGGAAAACTAAATTCAGCCACGCAACAGTAGCAGCTTAGTTGTCGACGGATTTCTGAATAATCATCAGTGCCTTTTCATCATCAATACTGGAGCAACAAAGTCAGTAATGAGAGCCGACATTTCCAACAGAAGCAGTTTGAAGAAATTATCAGTAGTACCTGCTATGGAAACAGCTACTGGAGATAGATGGACAGTCTATGGAGAAGCTGAAGTGAGACTGATGCTTGGAATCTGCGAAATAGAAACAGAGGTATTAGTTGCTAACATCGTCGACGAGTTCATTTTGGGACTAGACATAATATCCCCCTACGGATTCGTGGTGGACATAAGGAACAAACTGCTGAAAGTCTGAAATGAGGAAATTTTGCCCAATGTGTCCCTCTCAGCCTTATGATAGCGTCAAGGTGGTTATACTGGAAAATTCCAGAATCTCTCCTAACACCGAGAAAATTGTTCAAGCGGAAATTGCTGAGATGTCGGCTTGGGTACAGCATTGATAGAGCCATCCAATGACTTTGATTCAGGAATGATCGTGGCCAGACCCCTCGTGAATGGTAACAATCAGACCATTTCAGTAAGAATAATCAACCCAAATAATAACAAGGTGACTCTCAAGAAAGGACAACTAATATGCACCTGCAAACCTATCGTAAAAATCGCCAGGATTAAAGAAGAAGTACCTCTACAGCGTGCTCAACAACCCGCAAAGGAACTCATAGACTCTTTTAAGAAGACGTGGAGCCATCTGTCTGAAGAAGAACTATGCAATGCCACCCGATTCGTGGAGGAAGAGAACGATATGTATGTGATGGGCAAAATCATTGGTTGAACGGATCTAGTTCAACATCGCATCAATATTGGCGATGCCAAGCCCATACGCCAACCACCGAGACGTCTTCCCTTCGCAAAGCAAGACAAAGCTGCATCCATTGTTAATGACATGTTGGAGAAAGGAGTAATCGAGGAATCAAACAGCCCCTGGTCGTCACCTGTTGTGTTGGTGACTAAGAAAGATGGATTGATGAGATTTTGCGTAGACTACAGGGGGTTTAATGATGTCACCAGAAAGGACAGTTACCCTCTCCCTAGAATAGATGACACTCTGAACATCTTGGCCGAATGCAGATGGTTCTCAACATTTGATGTGAAAAGCGGATATTGGCAGGTGGCCTTTCGCCCCGAGGATAAAGAGAAGACTGCCCTTTCCATCGGCAATGGATTATACCAGTTTAAGTTTATTCCGTTTGGATTATGCAACGCTCCTGCAACATTTGAACGCTTGATGGAGTTGATGTTGAGAGGACTCACCTGGAAAACATGCCTGGTGACTTTATGTCACCGGAAAAAGTTTTGACGAACATCTGTCAAACTTGAGAAGTGTTTTCACGAGGCTACGGAGTGCTAATTTGCAAATCAATCCCAAGAAGTGCCGCTTCATCCAAGAAAAGGTGAATTTCTTGGGACACGTTGTGTCTTCAAAAGGAGTTGAAAAAGATCCAGAGAAGAATGGCAACACCGAATAGCAAGCACGACGAAAAAAGCTTCCTTGGACCCTGGAGACATTTGACCAGCGCACCGGTCTTGGCGTACCCAAAGGAGGAGGGCTTGTTTATACTCGACATGGATGCATCCCAACATAGAATAGGAGCAGTACTTTCCCAGGTACAAGGGGAAGAAGAAGTAGTCACCAGCTATTTTAGTAAGTCCCTGGGAACGCCCGAAAGAAATTACTGCTTTACTAGAAAAGAACTCCTTGCAGTGGTCAAAGCGGTGGATCACTACCACTCCTTTTTATATGGCCGTAAATTTTTGATCAGGTCAGACCACTCAGCACTTCGATGGCTCTTCAACTTCAGAACACCAGAAGGACAAATAGCTAGGTGGATCGAAAAGTTACAAACT